CCCCCCCCCCCCGCGCTCCCGCTTTAACATTGCGTCGCGCAAAATCCCAAGAGGCCAGGCCTTTATCTAATTTAAGACGTTATCGTGCTTGTTCCTTTTAACGTTTCTCATCAAATAACATTAATTACTACGGTATTGTTGCAACTCTTACCGTCTTCCCATGATCTGGCGCACGGCCGACAAATTGTGTCCGTTCCATGTGAACCCTGACTGACCCCGGCTTCTTATCCAAGACTCCTTCAACCTGGAGAATCGATGCCTGTGCGAACAGCTCGCAGGCAAGGCTCAAACAGCGGATTCCTTGGCATTGCTGCAGGCTCTGGCAGGCGTTTTAGAATATTTCAGACATGACTCCCCACTCCAACATCTCAGACGCGTGCACATACCTGAATATGCAGCTTCTTTGGAATTTGCCTCTTGATTGCATGCTAGTAAGGTTGAAAATAAGCAGTGAGCTGGGTTGGCTTGTACAAGCTTGAGAGGAACTGATACCAAAAGTGCCCTTCACAACAAAAAGGCAACAGCGAAACTTCCACCACGCCAACATGATGATGTACTGGCTGATGTTGTAGCCCGCTACTTGTCCAAGTACCCCCAGAAACAATTGATGATTTCAGTTCCCGAATACCACAATTTCAAGTGCCTGAAACATCTTTATTTGAAGTCTCCAACAAAAGTGGTTAGGCCCTATAGGCCGCCATATACAGACATAAGACCCACCGTTATTGGAATTCCTAGGTGAGCTATGGGCCAAACTCCTAGTATCCCCCTGAAAAAACCCTAGAAGTCTCCCTCACATAATCCCCTATATATAACCTCCTCTAAGGAGTTTAGACTATGGCTCATATACCATGCGCACATAGGACCCATGGTGATTGGAAAGCCCATGTGGGTCCTCGGGCACTCAAGGACTATGATGGCACCAAGCTTCTGCAGCATTGTGCTTTTCAGGACTGGCGCAGTGCCTGGCACAAGGCTTAGGGTTTAGGATTTAGGGTTTCGGGGTTTAGGTGTGGTAAGGTTTGGGGTTTAGAGGATTTAGGGGTTTTAATGTTTATGGTTTCGGTGTCGGTACAGTATTTACCCTCCCCGAAACTTCCGCGGAACCCCAAAAAGGCTGAGCAAAGACAGCTATGTGGAGGGAACATGTTCGGGAAGCGCCCAAGATACCATACCCTAAGTAAGACTGCGAACTTCCAATATGATTTCAGAACTTTGTCCCTGAACACTTAACTTCAAAACCCTAGCCCTGAACTCCAAATGCCTACACCCTAAACCCCAAAAGCCTGAACCAGCAACCCCGAAAGCCCAAACCATAAACCCCAAACGCCAAACCCCAAAACTCCCAAATTTTTAAGGGGCTTTGGGCTCCCTGGGTTGAATCTTCCTCTCTCGGGTGGAGGCCTTGGGAGGTCAAGCTTCAGGGCTGCAGTGGTCACCCACCAAAGCTGTTCCTCGCTCTAGACCTTAAACCCTAACCTGAGTCCCCAGATTTTGTAAACATGAAAATGGAAATTCTTCTCTTGGTAGCCTCTCGAAAGGGCAGCGTATGGAACACTTTGGAGCGAAAGCCACATTGCGTGAAACAGGTGATGCGCCCATGCAGTTGAAGGCTTAGGTCACAAGGACAATCCTGGAACCCCGGACTCTCCTTGTCACTGCAGTCGGAAGGGTTTGGGCTTTAGGGTTTAGAGGGTTGGGTTTGGGGGTTTAGGTCTGTGGGGTTTAAGGTTTGGGGTTTAGGGCTAACAGCCCTCACATGCATCCTTGCACTGACTCCCAAACAACCTTCGTTCCTAACTACCAAACGTAAGCATAGGGTTTAGAGCTCAGCGTCAGGGGGTGTGTCGGAGGGAATATAGGGAGCATTGTGTGGGATTGCATTGGCATTATCATACCCTTTTGCAGCAGGCTTGCAGAGATCCTCGCCTCATTATCATACCCTAAACTCTAATCAGGTTCAGGGTTTAGGCTTTTGCAATGTGCCACGTTTGGCATTGCAGGGCTGCACTAATACGGAGGTCCTCGCAGGTCCCTTCTGAAAGTGCTCTAATCAAGTTCCGAAACTCCAGAAAGCCAGGATGCATTCCACGAAGTTGGTGAAGCGGAGTTTGAAACCTTCGCAGAGCTGCCTATAATCCTGAAATAAGCCTTTAAACTGCCTTCTGGCCTGGCTTGTGTTTAGGGTTTTGGGTTTAGTGCTCATGCAGGACGACTAATTACTTCAGGGACACTGCGATCCATGGCATGCTGTTGTACACCTTTAGCATGCCTTAGATGGACCCCCCACCCAGTAATCGTGACTGTAAGAGATAACGGTGATGATTTTTACAGTAGGGTCCTGTAATATTCCTATTGAGCCACTATTACAGGGGGTCTACCTCAAGCATGTAACTCATAATCAAGCAGCCCATTTCTCCTGCAAAGTGGAGGCTGCAGTTGTTCTTCCAGTTTGAGAGCTCATGGACTTAAAGTTAAGTGTTTTGGGGCTAAGTACGCATATGTCAAGTTGTTATCCGCAGCAGTACAGTGACAACAAAAGACCGCAGGCCATTTCCTGATTATAACTTAGGCTTTTCCCTACCGAGAGCCTATGGAAATACTTGTAGTGGGTTCATTGCTGAGGCTGTTGCACGGATTCTCTGGGTGATTTCACAAAGATGTAAAGAATGGTGGGGTACCTGTGTGCCACCTTGTCCACATGCCTAAGAGTTGTGCCAATACGTGGGCAACAGAAACTTGGGTAGTAGTCTTCGTTCAGGTTTCAGGGACACGTGATTTTAGTCACCCCTCCACATCGTGCAATATGCCCACACCAAGGGTATACTTTATACTATGGGTTGGGTGTGATGTTTTGCTAAAAGAGAAAAACTGATGATGAAAGTAGTACCATGATAAACTCCCTAAACCCTAACTCCTAAACCCTAAACCCTAAATCCTAAACCCTAAATCCTAAACCCTAAACCCTAAATCCTAAATTCTAAACCTTAAGCCCTAAATCCTAAAACCTAAACCCTAAATCCTAAACCTTAAGCCCTAAATCCAAATACCTAAACCCTAGAACCTAAGCCCTAAACCGCCTGATTTCAGCCAAAGCGCGGGGATCATGACCGTCGAAGAAGCGCCAAACGCCATCGCTTCCCTTCCAGCTGCGCAGTGGGGGTATCTCGAAATCATCCTTAACATCCCGTGGGAACCCGTTTGGGGTTTAGGGTTTAGGGTTAATTCGGCTTGAGCCCCGTTAAAATCTAAATGTATATATATACATATGTATACATATGGCGGGGGTTTCTCGAAATCATCCTTAATGTCCTATGGGATTTATAGAATCCCCGTAAGGTCTAGATATACATATATGTATACCAAGGGCACTTCTTTGAGAAACTCAGTGCAGTTGAGATAGAGAAGGCCGTAACAAGAATCGCACAGCTGCGAGCAACAATTGCTGCCATTCCTTCCCCTCAGAGCCTAATGCCATGAGCCACCATGTTGGGAACCCTGGAATCGTTGATGGTACATCACTTTAAACAAAAATGATTGGGACTGAGATCTCGTGAGATCCTTGCTGCGTGGTCGATTCCAAGCTTTAGGACTTTGATTCTGACGCAAGTCACAAATCCTTTTCCACCCAGAAGAAGAGCATTAAAGAATTCGGACTGCAGGCTCCCGATATATGCAAAAACATAGAGGGACGCTCGGGACCCAAACCCTGCACCCTACACCTAAACCCTAGGCAGCCTTGTCAAACGAAGGGCAGGCAAATTTGATCTGCTCGTGCTCTCGCCTCAGCTGCAACCCTGATACATGGTTCCTTTTTGGGGGTGCGCCGGGGGGTAGTGTTAGAGTACCTGGGTGAAGGAAGTATGTGAACTGACTCCTGGAGGGACTATGCTGGACAAGTTGCTTCTGACGTCTGGCGACCCCTACACATCCTTAATGAGCCTCAGGGAGTTCTTGAGGGTGAAATAATCTCCTCCCGCGAATGAGAAGGTGCAATATTGGGCAGGGTGAAGGTTGGGAGGAGATGTGTTCCGGGCGCCGTACTTCAATATTGACCTGGAGGTCGTGCAATCAGATGCCCAGCACATAGTGTGCAGCGGCCGCTGTTTCGAGACAGACCCGGGAAAATGTCTGGCTTGACGAGGCTTTACCTGCAAAGCGGAGCAAGTAGGAATGCTATCCCCATGCAACCCTCATATAATTCTTCCATAAGATGTCCCAGAAACCCTGCTCAAACTATCCAATGCCTTGCTCGCACGGCTTAATTATGCAATCTTAGAACTACAAAAACCTGCACATCCAAAATGCCCATAGTCAACCTACTAGTTTTTTTGGGGTGAAAGGCCAGGGTGATCATGTCAACATTCAACCCTAAACCAAACCTTAACCGTGAAGGGAGGGGCCAGCAGGCTCTGAGACGCAGGCGACCTGTAGAACATTCCGGTGCAAAATATGAAGGGTTTGGGGGTTTAGAAATACTATGAAACACTTGGAGGTTCGGGGTAAGTAGAAGCCAATTATAATTGGTACTTACAGCCCAACTGTAACCAACCATATTTGGGGACTTTGGGGGCTCATATTTGGTCGTAAAAACGGTTTTGCTTGGGTTATCAGTACGTTGAACCTGCAAGCAGTGGCGTCTGTAGTAGTACTGATAGGGGGGCAAAGGTTATAACCTGGCTACGACTCGAATGTTTCGTACCTTGTTCCATTCCGGCAACTGAGATGCAGGCAGATTTATGAATCAAAGGACACGAACGCGCATACAAACGTAGGCATCTAGGTCTGAACGACTAAGAAATTGATATCCAATGCCCTTCCTAGCATTGCCTGACCAAAGCGGTCACCAGCTTGCAACAAGTGGCAGAATGTCAAACATGCGCGAGATTTCGTTGGTCGATAGCCGGACATCATCGTCCACGACCCATACGTAGTCCTTGGTGCGGCTGCAGCAAAGAACGCCACAGAAGCGTGCGTAGCAAGCCCCCTTTCAAAAAACAACATCTCCGCTCAGCTTGTCATTGCCCTGCAGTGCAGCTCTGCAGCACAAGGGGCAGAGCCCTCAAGTCATCACGTTTGCATAGCAAAAACAGGTCCAAAACTGGGCGCAAACCTCTACGTTTTCAGGCTCAGCCCAAACCAATGCAATTAGCTGATACTGTAACCAGCCAGGTTCACGGGGAGACAACACCTCCTTGCGAAAGAGACGCAAAAGAATAAAGTTGTAATGGGGAATGATGAGCGTGCGTATCCAGGGCTAAAACCATGATGAGTTCCTAGCATAGACCCTTGATCCTGAGTTTCTGAGGTCCCTGGACTTCTACTAGGGACGCGACATATCAGGTAACCAGCCCAAGACTCCAGGTGAAAAAGCCAAGGGCCCATATTCTCACACTTCAACCTTGGACTCCCTCATCTAACCAGTTCTCCGCACCACTTTGCTCTTAAGAACCCATAACCTAGACCCTAGATACCCTGAACCCCACTTTTTATAAACACATGGATCCCATGAAGCAGGAGGCGTACTTGGACGCCACGGCTGCTGCGCCACCCTGACCCTGGCTCTGCAGGACTTGGTCTCGAGGATAAGATTTGGGGTCCTTTTGGGGGGACCCTAATAGAGTTTTTTTGGGTGGTAGCTCAAGGGTACCGGCTTTTGTGGGAAAATATTATTTTGGGCTCTCCATTAAATAAGAATGAGAAATGGGAAGTACGCTCGGATCACAGCATAATTACGAGGCAGGTTGCGTCATCATAAATATTATCCAGCTTTTACAGAATCGGAAACTGATTAGGGCCCTGCATGACTCCTGCTGGGATTCCATATTAGCTTTGGGGAGAGTATGCTACCTAACCCCACTTGGAGGTTCAGGGCAGCTATAACCCAAATCTAGCTGTACTTATAACAGGTCATTCCCCCTGAACCAGCAAGTAATCACATCTGAACCATACACCCAACCTCCAAGTAAATAACAAAGAATATGATCATCCCGGCCTCCATCCACCACCGAAAGTTGGGCCACTTCCTTTGCAGCCGGGTCTTCACTCTACTTTGACCCGAAGGCTCTTAGGACTGTGGTTTTGTGGGGGAGTGCTTTGACTTTGGGGGGTGGGGGGGCTAAGGTTTAAGATCTGACTATGGGGGGTCCAAGAGCCCTACAGGGTAAGGTTGGTTAAGGCCTGGAGTTAACTGGCTCCTCGCTTGGTACTACGAAATGGTAACACTCCCATTCATTCCTTGAACATGACTTTTGAATGCGAGCAATATCGTTCAATCATTCAGTTTCGTACGTGGGCCCTGGACTAAAGTTATAATATGTTCCTTAAAGGCGCCCCCTAAACCCACTATAGGTAACCCCCAAACTAGTTTTAGTCCGTAGCTCATATGCAGCTCACTTTTGTGTGAGGTCAGCTGCGGGTGTCTGTGCGTTATGACTTGTTAGGACTGCCGCACATCTTTTTCTCTGATTTTTTTTTTGGGGGGGGACCTATAGTCAGGATTCTAGCATGTTAGTGTCTATATCAGGGTCCCACTTATTTTGGAAAACGACCATATCGTTTCGTGACACCTCGAACCCTCTTTCGCTGCTCTGCCAAGATAGCACCGAGCCCTCCCTGACGCGCACCGTGGGAATATTCATAACACCCCACCCCCCGAAGGACCCAAGACCCACCGTGAAGTACAACCGCGTAGGATCTGGCCTGTCATCCAGATCTTGGCATCTTACGCATGGATTTTCACCTCTGGCCTAGCCGGCTAAGGAAGCGTGCAATTTCAAGACTCACTGGTTGGGGGCTTAGGGCCGGCTGGACATGGAGTCTTCCTCACCAAAGACTGCTCGCGCCAACCTCAACCCCCTTCTCGAAACTGAAGCGAAACCCCAGACAGACAAGTCACATTCCCGCGTGCTGGAAGACCTGCACACCTGACGAAGAGGAGGGAAATACTGGGACCTCTTGAAGTAATGTAGTGATGTTACTCTCTCTCCCTGACATTCTATCGGGATGACAGTGACAAAGGGAAAACACTGCTGCTTAACCAGGACTCTTCGGCATTTAGGATCCGAAGCTCCGAGCTTCAGTTGTACCGGGAATCAGGGACCAATTTTCATCTACGAATCTACTTCATGTACACTTGAGCCCACTAGGGTTTAGGGACCACGAATATGGGGGCAAGGGCCGAAACCTGTGGGAGTTCCTCAGAGCAATTGCTTAAGAATGCTGAATCGGAACCCAAATGACCCCACATACCCTGAGGCCTCAAGGCCCGCACCTTTCCAAGAAACCCCCCGTATTGCCAAGGGCACTTAGGGTTCTGGGCGACCTGGGGCTTTAGTTTTGGAACCTGAAGCTGTTCATCGTAAACGACACTTGAACTTGATGCATAAACTTCAGAAACACTCAACCCACTTTGCAATGAAGTGAATGCTGAAAAGCGAAACTATCTGACACATGGCTCTTAGTTATAATCTCCCCAGTTGGACACCCAGTAATTCAGTACACGCAACCTCACTCCTAAGGATACACTCACTTAAAGCCCATAACAAAATTCTACTTGCCCAGTTCCCTTGCACCCCAACAGGTTGACCTGTTGGTGATACAAGTTTCGAACTGCACCTGAAAAGGTCAGAGGCCATCTACTCAGCTGCTGGAAATCACCGTAAGCCCTGAACCCTAGACCTCACTTATTGTCGATCCCCATGAGATGGAACCGCTAAACCCCATAAACCTTACAACCCTGCACTCATAGGTTCCCCTACTACCCCCCCATACTACCCCGTTGGTTCCTCCCATAATTAAAGCTATTCAGGGGCAATTAGGACTAATTAAGGTTAATTAAAGGGGAACCTGGGGGGGGGCTAGTAGGGGAACCCATGATATACCTAAACGCCAAGGTTAAGGTTCACAGCTTAGGAGTTCCCGGCCTGAATGTTTTCAAAACCAGGCCATTTTAGGACGAGTTTTGCACATAAATCGTCATTTGGGGTGAGGGTGTGTGAGTTTAAAGCCTTTTTCCTACAAACTATATGTGGGGACCCTAAGCCCTATATATACCCCTCTAGAGATTCGGGTGAGCTTAATTGGTATACGAAACACTTGTGTCGCATTGCGGGGGTGGCTACCTGGAGCCTATGTGCCCATGATTTTGGGAAACTTTAGCCTAAACCCTGTGAACCCCAATACAACCAACTCTAAACCTATAGACCCTTAACCCAACCCCATAATTTTGGGAAACCTACAAATGAGGGGCCTGGATAGCGCTCCATCTCCTTGAGAGATGCCAGAACCGGTGCAGTTGGCTCCTTGTAGAACCTTCGGATCTGGATTTAGGGTGTAGGGTGCACGATTTAGGATTTAGGGTTTAGGGTTTACATCACAAGGAAAATCTACTATCTACCATATACTCATACTATGGTAACTAAATTCCTTGACGGGCTTGAGCTGCCCCAAACTAGCGTGGAAACCTTCACCATAGGACTACAAAGATGTCTGTCCTCTCAGCACGGGCCCATCTGGGATTCTGATTTGTTTTTGGACAGGGGCCATTTTAGAGTGTAGGGATTTAGGGTTCAGGGTTTGGGGGGGTAAAGTCTCACAAAAAGAATCCTCTCATATTATTTCTCAAGTTATCTCCCCGAAAGAATAACCGGATCCAGTTTGCACTGGCTCCGGAAGGTCTCTTGCCAAGGGGGGTGTCTGAAATTCCTGTTGATCCTTCACCCCCAGGGCCTTGGTATAAGTATATATATATATATGAGCTATAGTCTAAACTCCTTAAAGGGGGATATATAGGGGATTATATAAGGGACTACTATAGGGGATATTAAGGGGGATACTAGGAGTTTAGACAATTGCTCATATAGTCTGGCGATACTATGGGGTGGAACTTCGGGACCTTCGAGATACAAACCCTAAACTCTATTCTTCTTGGTCTTCTTAGGGAACAAGGGAAAAATCCCTATATAGCCCCTATCTACTACATTTCCCACTAACCCCCGACTTAATTGATATCCCGACATGACCCCTAAACCCTAAACCCTACACCTAAAAACTAACCCTAGACTCGAAATCCTATAAGCCCTAATGGGGGCTGTAGAGGGTTTGGAGGAAGTTTTGCAGACCTTCCAGCCCTGCGGTCTCGGCTCCCTGGCTGCAACAGAAACTGGTTCAGGGTTTACGGTTTGAGCTTTAGGGTGTCAGGTTTGGGGCTTAGGGTTTACGGTTTGGGGTGTAGGGGTTGGCGTTTATGGGCTAGGCCTTAGGTGCACAGATTCTGCATGTACACACACATATATATATATATATGTATGTGTATACGTGTATGTATCTATAAGAGGGGTTTAGCTAAGTTAGCTACCCAGCTGTTAGGCATGGATTGGCAAATGGAAATTTAAACAGATTTGGAACTATGCCCGCAAAAACGCAACCATTTAGGGGGTGGCGTTGCATAAGGTCATTTATGTTTGCCCAAGCCTGCCTGCCTTACGGGAAAGTACCGCCGTATATCTCCTAGCTACTCCATCCCATAAAGCTCCAATAGCAACCCGCAAAACCTAAACGCTGAACACGCAGTATGTACACCCCCCCCTGACATGCTCTTTCCCAGAATGTACAATACTTATATAAGTCCTATGTATACTCTTCATTTGGGGTTGCTGAAGCCATCTCTCTCTAAGGGCCTGAGTCCCTTATATACACGCATACATGGCAGTTTCCCAAACTAGGGGTACCCCAATGTAGACCCAAAAATACTATAGTCCTTATCATGGGGACCCCCAAAAAGCTAACCCTCATTTTGGGAAACCCCGCAGCTGCAGTTATTGGGTACTCGGACCATTGAAGAATCTTGTCATTTTGAGAAATCTTCCCTAAACCCTAAACCCAGACCCCTGCGAGGATCTAAAAACTAGATCCCCTATATAGACCCATTATAAC